TTGAAATACCGGTTCCTGTATGATCACCGAAGTTAAGCACAGTCGAGAAGGGTCATTACCCAGATGGGTGTGCGCTTGGGAATACCATGTGCTAAAAGCTTGGATGTGCCGGTGGTGTAATGGATAGTTAGCGGATAGAGGATTTTCAATTTCAGTCGGGTTTGTTATATTCACTTACGTGCAAATACTCTTGGAAAAGGTATGAATATATCCCGTCTATGCTACTAGACTCGTATCATGTTGTGGAGATGAACACACCTCTCCAGAAGAGGACTTGGACTCGTCCAAATGCATAAAGAATGACACCGAGAATCGTCAGTAGAAGGAAAGAACAAGAGAGTTAGAGTTAAGATTAAGGTTCGAGTTATCTGCTTACTACCGATTTCAGAAAGACTACGTCGCCTCCACGCGACATTCTACTTTTTGGTTGTGTTATCTTGATTCAATTCAATGAAGACATGACAAATAATAATGGCGATGAGAATTCGAATTCACACGGAATATTTCTTTTTGCCTCTCTCTTAGCATAGTTAGAATATTTAGCTGGCAAAGAAAATTCAAAATTCATTCTTAAGAAGGTACGAGGCAATTTTCAGAGAAGAATGTCAAAGAAGGTCGAATGAAAAAAAAATTACGTCTTCTGTTACGAAAATTTTGCCTCTGTAAACATGAAAAATATTTTAATTTCATTTTGCCGAATACTCCAGAAAAAAGTATCACTTAACGAAACAGTGTCGATATTATCAAAAATATTTAGTACAAAGAAGTCACTGTTTTATACACGTAGGCAGTGCATGAACCTTACTAAGGACGAAAATGAAGATTTTTGTCACGTATGCCGGTAGATTCAAACGTGAATGTGAGAAATTTAAACTGGATAAACTATTCCCAGACAGATTTAAATGTCTAGTCTTCTAAAAGGTTTAACATGATGCAACGATGCGGAAATACGCTCTCGAATCCTTAAAAAAATTCAAATTTAAAAGATGGTTGTATAGAACGCCAAAAGAATTGTCTATTTAAGGCATGTTACCGCGAAGATTGGAACAAAATGGCACCTCAGAAGTGAAACTAGTCTAAAAAAAAAAAAAGACGGTAATACCAAAACAAAAAATCCAGAATAAAAATGCTGCAAAACTTAACCCATGTTAAGGCTGTGATATTCTTCATTTCAAAAAGGACCAGCCATTTAAAGCTAAAAGATATTTTAATTGTTGAAAAACCTGTCACAAACGAAGCTACTAAAAGTAGAAACGCAAGAGAAATACATAGATTAACTTTCTGAAAGTAATTTCTCTCAGCTAAAAACAGGAATGATCAAATAACAGACAATTTATGACAGTAAAAATGAATAACGTTACATTTGGACACTGGTAGCGATATTACAATTATTGATGAACAATTTCAACTACCAGATCATTTAAGATCGACTATAAAGTTTTCTTTAAAAGCTTTAAGGCCTGAAAAGAAAATTATCAGGAAGGAAAAATTATTCAACGTCTTGGTAGTATGATGGACATTGTCGAAGTTAGACGATTTCGTCATAGGAGACATATAAATCGAGTTCTAGATATGGACAGAATAAGCAATCAGTACAATTTAATCCACCGATGGACATACTTTACAATACCTTTGAAGTACCTATTCCTCAACTAAAATTACAATACAACGGCAGGATAAGCGAAAATGCCCTCCTTCCTCATTATGTGCTGCAGAGAATTCAACTGTCTCTTTCTGATTCTAAGTATGTGTTCTTTCTGTTTACATTTTCATACAACTTCGTTGCTTATGCGTTCCGTCCATGGTATTCTCAGCATCCTTCTGTAGAACAAGCTGTGAGGAAATTGCACAGTTGTTTCGTTGGCCGAATTTGTTTAGCGGGATATCAACAACTCTATGGGTTATTTAATTCCGAAATCTAAATATCCCGCACGCAATTTTAAGCTTTTAACTAGCGATATCATGTACATAATTTTATATTCTCAGGGTAAAGGTATTTTTTTTTCCAGATATATAGTTTATAGATCAGAAAATATATTGTTGATAATTTTACTATATACATGTATTTTTATAATTTTTTTAGTGTTGCATTGATTGATATTTTGCTATAAAAATTTATTGGTTATACTTTATAAAAATGTAGTTTTGACTTTTGTTTGAGAGTTCACTATTACCCCTTAGCTGGGACCCTAATAGGAGCTACTTATCCATGTTAAGTTGAACCAGGGAACAACAAGAGTTAAGAGGTGGTTCCATGTTCCTCAAAACCTCCAATATCTCGGTCAGAGGATTTGCTGCCGGACGTAGTTTAACGTCATACCCAGGACGCGAAATTGTCCAAAATTTTCTGTTTTATGAGAGGATAGCTATTACATAACAGTTCAGCACTATTTGTTTTTATGTATACAGGAATCAGATACAGTGTGCGTTTAAGTGCATTACTGTTTCATTTTACTTTACAGTAATAGTTTGATTAGAAGGAATGAATGTTTTGACATATTTGCCTCATAAATTCTGTTCAGGTTACATAAATAGCGATTTCATTGGTAATCATTCAGTGTTTTTAATCAGCGAACCAAAACGTCAGTAAGTATAACTAACCGTGAATTTCATCGAGCGTAACTATACCCTAAACTTAACTACTGTCAGGTGATTTCGTTATTAATCCCGTTCATTCTTTAGCCCTGAGGGCGAAATTGACGTAATGGAGAGTATGTATGGATGCGCAAGTGATATCAATGATATACCGAGTGTAACAGCAAAATTGTCCAAATCGTTTAACAGCATGGGATAATTGACCATCCCACAAAATGTTTAATATCTAAAAAAAAAAAAAAAAAAAACCACTAAACCAATAGAATTTCTTTATTCCAAGTTTTCAGATAATATTTTTAACCATCTTGTCATCATTTGTCATAAGAATGACAGAAGCTAGAAAGAGAATGAGTTAAAATCGTTTTGTGTCAGCCCCACTATGTATTCAAAAGATCATTCAGGCCTTCAGTAATGGTACCAACATTCATACTCTGGCTTCCATCTTCCAAGTCCATTCAAGAACCATCAAGAGAAACGGTGAATTAGTTTAAAAAAGAGAAAACAATAGAAAGGAAAATTAGAACAGGAGGTCAGAACAACAAGAGAGATCACCATTTCAACTTAGAGCTAAATAGATTCTTATTGCCCAAAGTAGAGTCCAATAGTTTTATAAAAACCTCGGAGAATTCCAGTAAGATATCTTTAATCATTTCTAAGATACATCGGGTCAAAGCTTAATCCAACAATTGAACAATATTGCTGTTACACCCTGTAAATACATTTCCCCTACATATTCTTATTCTTCTATGTGCCTTCAGGAAGTAGGCGACCATGGCTCTTCACAACTTCCTACTCTTTGTAGCTCTTAGTACGGTTTGTCATTTTTCTATCTCTCCTAATCCCTATTCTGCCAACCATTTACACAAGCTCGTTCGGAAGATTATGCGCTAATTTCCTCTGTCCCTCTTGAGTTCAGTCTGTTCTGTGAGTGTTAAATTTTCCTAGCCTGCTTTCCTCATGACGTTCCCTAGAAATTTCAACTGTCTCTTTCTAATGCTACCATATGTCTCCTTTTTGTTTCTATTTTCTCTAGAATTTGGTTGTTGTTTACACTTTCGGTTCATGGTATTCTCAGCATCCTTCTGTATATCCATATTTCTGTTGCTTTGAGTAATTTCTTCCTGTGTAAGGATATTTCCCAGCATTTATTGCTATATAGTAGGACTGATATTATGTAAAAATTCAATACTCTTTTCTTTGTTTTTAGCAAAATTTTCCTGTTTCTGAACACTTTGCTTACGTTTTGGAAGGCATTTTACATATCCCAATAAGTCTTCATATTTCAGTGTCACACTTTCCGACCTCTGTTAAAACACTTTCCAGATATTTAAATTCTTGTTTTTGTTTGATTTTCGTATCTCCAATTTTTAATGTGAATGTTGAGCTGTTCCGTTTGCTAACAACCATGCATTCTGTCTTCTAGCAATTGATGCTTGCTTGGCCTACTGACGGGATTATCTATTGACATATATACTTTTCCTTCCACACACGATTAGCCATATATGATTTCAGAATCTATCAAAAGATTAGTGTTATTTGATGTTATTTATTATGCTTAAATCTGATGGAGACTTGGCTCTGGTTAGGTATTTGAATATTGTTTTTATAACGCAGAAAGAAATATTTCATAGACTACTCAAATGCATTTGATAAGGTATAGCACAAAGATCTATTTGAACTATTAGGAAAGCTTGATTTACTTGGAAAAGATATTAGAATAATACAGAATATATATTGGGAGCAAACCACCTGTATATGGATAGAAAATGAACTGAGTAAATACACAACGATAGAAAGGAACATAAGAGAAGGTTTGTGTGTATTTTCACTGGATTTATTTCACCTTTAATCTGATATCATTATAAGAAAACTAAAAGTCTTACTAAGATTTATTATTCGAATGTAAAATGTCGACAATTTAAGATTATATAGATGTCACGGCGTTGATGGTAGACAGAGAAAGAAAACTACAGGTACTCATAGGAAAGAAAAACGAGAAGAAAGGAGTAACTATGGATAGTAAGAAGGGAGAACGTATAGTTAACGACAAGAAAAACAGCTCGAGATGCGAATTGGGGATGTCAAAATCAAACACGTACAGAACTTGATGGAAAATGTGACGCCGAATTACGAAGGTGCGCTGGAATAGCAAAAGATGCCTTTCAAAAACTAATATATTAAAAAACGGGAACATATAATTAGAAGCAATGAAAATAGTATTGAACTGCCACGTAATATAAATCTTACTATATGAGAGTGATTGTTTCTCACAGACGAAGAGGAGACCTGAGGCAGAGATGTGTTTCTATAGAACTTCACCATAAAAGAAAAAAGAGAAAAAAAGAAAGAAAAAATAGAAAAATAGCATATAAGCAACATGATTTAAAGAAAGTGATAAAAAGTATACTTATATTTATGAATAGAAAAAGAGACATGATGAGAAAAAAAGTCTTAGAATATTTGACATTCACAGGACGTAATGAAGGCAAATTAGATCT